CGCAGTTCCTGTTGCCTTTGCAAGAAATGAGTTCAAAGTCTCCTCTGCAATGCTCAACAGTCTGCAAACCAGACAAAACACCTCGAGATAAACGACCAGCTTTTTCCAAGTATTCTCACCCAGCGGGGCTTGAATCTCGTGGACTCTGAGGTGTAATTGCTAAATGTTGAGGCACTCCTCCAGTAACCTCCGAATCGGGGCTTCTGTCAGCCAAAGCCAACGCTGACTGCTCACACACACACACAACAAACGGACACATCCAGGAAACAAACGTTACGTAAGCTCTTTAAAAAAACAAAGCACCACCTTCATGAATATCAAATCTCTCACCCAGATGCTCTCACTCACCTGATCATTAAATCGGTCAGCAGCCGCGGCGGACTTTTTATCAGGATCCGCGGCGCCACCACCACTTCGGATCTGCTGGAGCTGCTGACGGAGGCACTGATTCTCCAGAGCCAGCTGCGAGCTGTGCTTCGTAAGTCGCTCGTTTTCCTCCATTATAATCTTGTTCATGGCCGTGAGCGACGAATTCACGCTTTGGAGACGAGACGTCTCTTTTCTCTGCTTCTCACGGCATCTGAAACAACACCAAGGGGAGAGGAAAAGTTAAAAAATGGAAAAGCGAAACAGCACTAGAGAACAGTGTTCAAACAAAGCATAAAAAAGGTTCTAGCGAGAGTCAATAACATCTGGCTTGAAAGATTGCTGCTGAGAGCGACAACAAGTATCCAATCCAACCCACAAAGGAAAACTTCCTCTCACGCATCACCAATCTCACACTCAAGTTCTAGAGCAGCCAATCTCACACCAAGTTCTAGAGCAACACCAAAGCTCCTACGTAAGATGGAAACATACCTTCTATTCTGGAACCACACTTTGATCTGCCTGGGCTCAATGTTGCCAAGAACCGGGTAGTCCCTCACAATCTGCTGCCTCCGGATGGAGCTGGGCTTGGGACACTCATGGTAGACGCGCTCCAATGCCTCCACCTGTTCGGGAGTGTAGCGGATGTACTTGCCGGTGTCGAAATCGCTCTTGTCTTTCACCTTCATCCTTGCAAAAGCGCCCTTGGCGCTCGCGGCTAGTACACGAGGAGACGAAGAAGAAACGCGCTGGAAAGGAAGGAGGAGAATCTTTCAGCACGCCCAGCCAAGGACGCCTGGATGGCCTCTACATGCTGCGCGCTATCAAGCGGCCCGGCGAGCGAGAGAGCGGACGAAGAGCAAGCCCGGGCAGCGCGCCGCCATGGAAATATTTCGGCCTTTATCGATCGATGCCAGACTCCCTGCAATGCAGCTCCCGGCGCGTGGATCTTGGAGCGAGGAGGCCGCGGCTGAGCAGCAGCGATGCAGAGGATGGAATGCCGCCCGGGCGAGCAAGAAAGAGCCAAGCCAAACCAAGGATCGCTGCGCGCGCTCGAAATATCTCTCCGCCCTGGCGCGGCCGATCGATTCGCGCTTGGAAAGATCAGAGGAAGTGTATCTTGGAGCTGAATCTTAGAGCGCCGCTCGTCATGATAGCAGATCCAGCGACATCCTCTTAAAAACAAGAAAGAAGAAACAGTGATCTATGATCCAAGATGCGAGAAGCGCACAAAGGGAGAGAGGCAACAAGGGGAGCGCAGTGGGGCAAAAATGCGAAGAACACGCGGAGGAGCGAACAAGAACATTAGAGAGAGAGCTATAGCTATGGCCGACGATGCCACGCCATGCCTCGGACATACGGCCGCCATACGCGAGTCACATGCATACATGATCATCCTGCATACGTATATTTAACTATTAAAAGTGCGTGTACGGAGGGATACGCGTGGAATAAAATAAGCAAAAAATAACTGCTAGGGCTTCGGTTAAGTAAGCCGCCGGACCAGTTAAGTAAAACACCGGCGCGCTAACGTTTGTCCTAAACAAAACCCGGAGATTAGGATTAAGATGATAATGTCCGTACCCCCGCGCGACAGGGACCGTACATGGACCCCGAATAAAAACTTTGTTCTGTTGCTGCTGCTGCTGCTGGTCCTGGCACTTTCATTGAATGTCGTGTCGAATCCATTCCTTCTCGCGTATGATCCATCCATCCATTGCTTAACAAATCGTTTTTTACGAGTAAAGAAACTTGCAAATTCGATCGCCCAAATCCCATACTTTCGATCAGGTTAGAAAAACCCAGGATTTATCTCTGTGCCTTTCGCGTGTGGATGGATCCTCTGCCGAATTCAATGCCCAAGGAGGAAGTGTTCTTCAGAGGCGCGATTTGGGCTGACCGAGTAGCAGCAATTGCAGTAGCAGCAGCAGCGCTAGCAGCAGCGAGAGAAAATTCCAAATGCCATGGGATGGATCCAATCAATTCAACCAACTTGATTGCCGGGATAGGAACTCGTTGTCACCGTCTCGCAACTTAAAGCACTGCTTAATTGTTGCTTCATCCATCCATCCTCTTCGCCTCCTCTCTGTGGATCTCGGACGAAGGGCTCGCTCCTCTGCGCTCGCTTTGACCCCGCGGGCGAAGAACTCGGAGCAGGAAAGAAACCGGTGGATGGAAACAGGGATTTTGATTGATTGACTGATTTCGATTGCCGTGTCTTTGTGTAGTGTTCTTGGTCTGGATCCGCCCCTTGCTCGCTAAAGATTTCTAGGCACAACGATTAGACGTGTAGCTCGCACCAGTATAGCGAGCATGAGCTCACACACACAAAGACCCTCTCTCCAGTCGATCGCTATCGCCATCGCTCCTGCCTAGGAGGCGTCTCTTTCGTATCAGTTCCACAGTTTTCTTCTTCCTCCTCCTCGCACAAGAGATAAATCCCATCCACACTTTCGTAGCCCAGCAAGTAGAAAGACCGAAAACGAAAAAGTTCGATCTCATTCGAGCTACACAGCTACGACGACCTCCCGCGAGCGAACGAGCGAGCGAGCGATCTGCTCGACGCTACTCATAATCCTACCGCCCGTACAACGACGTCGCGGAAGAAAATCTCTCCGCAACTGTGATTGATTCTACGTTAAGACCGGCGTACAATCCTTTGATCTTCCGTTCGAGCGAGTAAAAGAACTTATAGCGTAGACTCATACTTGTGTGTGTGTGTGGGGGGGGGGCTGATGCGTAGCTCGTAGAGCCCTAGTAGCGAAATCTTTGTTGTTGACTTGTGCCGCTAGAAATCTTTAATTCGCTCGAGAGATGGGGGAGCGGCAGATCATCGAAATCCATGCGTTTGCGTTGGGTTCCCAGTGTTCTCACCCCCTGGCCAGCCATTGGCACCACTGTACGGAAGAGCGCACTTTTTCATTGTCCGCCACCTTTGCGCCCGTGATTGCTGTCTCTTTAGTTTTTTGGCACCGCCTTGCCTGGCATGCTGGAGTTGCGTATGATTTTTCCCATGAATTGCTTACCTCGGGGGGGCTTAGATCCTGCCGAGAGCTCCAGGTTTGAATGGATCGAGGGCGCTCTAAGTTTACAAATTGTTTAGAGAGTGTGTGTGATGTGTGAGTGACAAGCAGTGGGGGGCATCTTGGGAAGAGGGGAAGGGGGCCGCCCAGCAAGCACCAAAAGAAAAAGGGCGACTGGATTTGCCCCTGCCGCGGCTTGCCAGCTTAATGTATCTAGTCGCAATGGGGGCATCTCAATCATCTGTGCAGCGTCCGTACGCCTAAGCGTGCTTTCTCTCCTTTTCCTGAGATCCGAGCTCCCAACGAGACTCTCAGTCCACTCTGTGTGTGTGTGTGTGTGTGTGTGATAGCTCAGTCTGTCTGGCAAGAAAGAGAATTTTATTTTATTTTATTTTTTGTTTAACTGTTTTTTTGGCATTTTCTTGCTTTTTTAATTTTTAGCCTTTTGTTTTTTCTTGCAGAAAAGGCAAAAATCTGCTCTGCCTGGGGCGGCTCCAGGCCTACTGAATCTCCAAGGAGGATCGCCAGCCCACGCGGCGTACGAAACGGCATGGCACAAATGCGCCACATGGCCCATGGCGGGCAGACAGAGATCCTGCGTCGACGTCACGGATGCGTGGGTGGTATCCTGCGGCGCCCTAAAAGCATATGCTATGCCACCATATGCGAAAACTTGAAGCTGTGTGATCTCTTTCTTGATCTCCTCCTTGACTGGAGCGCTTAAATGTGGCCACTCCCCTTTTAATTTCTAGGTAGTGCAGAAACAGCTCAGCGGTAACCCCACCAGGCCTTACGCCATACGAACTCTGTCTGTCTCTTATCCATGAATGAAAAGAAAAGAAAAGAAAAGAAAAGAAAAAAAGGAGGAAAAATTAGTAAAGAATCAAAAGAAAATGCCAGCCGAAATTCTCGAGAACAAGTTTTGGAAACAAATCCCGACGCCAACAACAAAAACTATTCAGGCCGACAGCGATGGATAGATATATTGGATATATTATTAACCATACATTAGCACTACTCCTTGTAGCACGGAAGCACACAAGTCCCGTGGAATGAGAAGATTCACGGGAATGTACCGCAGCCTGGCATTTTGCAAGCGTAATCTTTGGGCCTGCAAATGGGGAATATGGGTCTTAGACTAAACAAGGGCAAACTTACTGTGCGACCCGACCGCTTTCCAGCATTCCGGAAGTAGTAAAATGCCCACTCACCCGTCTCCACAACCCTAGAAACCAATTTTATATGGGAAAAAGGGGGGATGGCAGAGCGTGATCCCTATTTCCCAGCGATGTTGCACGAAGAAGCAGACAAAAGCTAGGAGGCACCCAAGAACGCGAAAAGTAAAGAAAGCCGCAGCTGCACCACCACCACCTTGCACAAAAAATCAGAAGCCGCCAGCGCGCCAGCCAGCGGAGATCTAACGCTAGATTCGAATGTGCCAGTCGCCGACTGTAAAAAATGTACATAATATTACTTGTTTTACTGCGCATGGAGAAAAACGTTACGCTCCAGCACATGATGCCATGTGGCATGGACAGCAAACGCTGCAGCCCGGGGTATTCCGAGAATCGAACTCGGGACCTCTCGCACCCGAAGCGAGAATCATACCACTAGACCAAATACCCATTTCGTTGTTATTATCATTCAATTTATCACAACCCTAAACCCTATAAACCCCACACTATCCACTATCTTACACAAACTTTTAGAACGAACGAACGAACGAACGAACGAGAGAGAAAACGAGAGAGAAACGAGAGAGAAAAAGAGAAGCTCTTTCACACAAACATATGAAGCTCGGGCCGGCTGTAGATGTTCCTCTCGTCATCGTCGAGAATCGGATACGCCGCAACCAGCCCGTCCTGCGACCCGATGTAGAGCGAGTTGTAAATCTTCCAGTACACCTCGCGGACCTTCCTCGCCGGATGGAACAGCCCCTGGAGGCAGTAGCTCAGCACGATCACTGGCCCCAGCGACACCCGCATCGCCTCGATCGCCTCCATCACCGCGTTGATTACGTGCGGCGACGTCTCGAAGATGTTCGGCCACACGTAGTTCATGAGATGGATGAGCGCGTCCTCGCACCCCAGCCCCGCCACCCCGAGCGCCATATGCTTCACCGCGGACGCCGCCGTCTGCCTGTGCACCAGGTCCCTGTCCATGAGCGCGTCCTCGAGCAGCGGCGTCACCGCGTAGATGTAGTCCTTCCCCATCTCGCCGATGTACTCGAACAGGAACGAGAGCGACTTGAGCACGCCGTTCTGGACGTTGAGCTCCGGCACCCGGTACTCGTTCATCAGCGCCGGCAGCACCGTGAAGGGCGAGCACGTCTCCGCCACGATGGCGATCGCCACCGTCGTGCACACCCGGTTCTGCCGCTCCTGCACCTTCAGATTGTTGAGCAGCGTCGCCAGCACGTCCTGCGGGCCGATCGCCTTGGCTATGTAGCCGAACGTGTTCACCGTCGCGCGCCGGATCCCCTTCTTGTGCGCCTTGAGCATCTCCAGCAGCTCGAAGCAGATGCGCATCCACTCGCGCGCCGGGACGTAGTCGGCGCCGCGGTCCGCGATCCGGCCAACCAGGTCGATGCAGTTCTCCTGGACCTTCTCGTGCCTGTTCTTGAGGATGGGAGTGAGCCGCGGTAGCAGGTCCTTGATCGGGGGCGTCATCTTCGACATGCCGATCACGTTGACGATGGCTTTCAGCGCGCCCAATATGGAGCCCAGCACCTCCGGGTACTCCTCACCCAGGTACTCGTACAGCACCACGCCTAAGTGTCCCATGAGCTGCTCCTCGCCGCACTGCTTCATCACCACCGCGATCCGGGAGATCAAGTCCGCCGCCTGCTGCCGGACCTTTGCGCTCTTGTTGTTGAGCCGCCACTTGATCGTCCCGCATATCTGAGGCAAGTATGGCTTCGCGCGCTGGCCCATCGCGTTCACCACGGCTCCGAAACCGTTGAGCATCACGTTCGCGTCGTCGCTCGTCTGCTCCTGGAATGCGTACAGGATCCCGTCCACCAGAAACTCCTCCAGCCGGGAGTCGATGTCCGAAGCCCCCAGATTGGACACCACCTTCTCGATCGTTTCCATAACCATCCGCCTGTACGGCTCGCTCTCGTCCTTGAGATCTTCCACCACCCTGCTCACGATGTCCGAGACACCAACTTTGTTGGCAATTTCCACGGTCGTGTCGACCAGCTGCCTGTAGTTTCTGCGGTCCAATGCCATCCTCCTGACCCAAAAGAACTTGAAGTACTGCGGGAGTATCTCTGTCTTGATGTAGTCCGCCTCCACACCCTCGGTGCTCACGCACTGCTTCACCACCTTTAACACGATCTTCTTCATTTCTTCGTCAGGAGACTGGAATTCCCGGATCAGGATCACCATGACTTCTTTGGTGTAGTAGTTCGCATAGACTGCATCCATCAGCGGAATGATGAACCCAATGGCCTTCAAGAACGCAGCTAGAACCTTGCCCCTGTGATTCCTGATGCCCTTCCAGAGAGGCTTCAAAACCGAGTCGAAGCTTTCTATACCGTAAGGCGCGGCAGCCTCGGCCAGAGCAGCCAAGGAGAGCGCGGTAATAGTCTTCACCTTCTGATTCTCGTCGTTAAGACCGTGCTCGATGATCTCCACCAGTGACTTCAGGTGCGGCAGTACCGCACACCCCATGAGAATTGCAATCTGCTGCACGATCTTGATGCCCGTGTGCCGCGCTTGCCACGACTTTTTGCTCTGACACACCGCCTTGAGGAACAAGAGAAGAGCTGGGATACCAAGTGCCGAGGCCACAACACTGAACGCTCGAGCCGTAGTGTTTCTTACGTACTCATCGATGTTGTCAATGTCGGGCCTCATTGCAGCGATCATGGTAGCCAGCCCCGCCGCCTTGCTGAGATTCGAGATTATTTCTCGGCCTTCAACTCGAGCATAATAATCCTCGTCAATCAGCAGTGGCTCAATCACCACCAGGATCTTGTGCACGAACGGCCTGACCAGCTCGTCCAGTTTGTACAAGACCCTGTCGATGACTTTCACCAGAAGGTGGCGCTCCTGATCCTCAAGTGTGGGAGACATGAGCAGTGGCAAGATCTGGTTGAACAGTGGACCAGCCCCGAACTCCCGAGCCTTGTCCGTCAGCTGCCTCAAAGCCGTCTTCCTCTGCGGAGGAGTACCGTTCTTTACCTTAAGTAGGAGCTTCATGATCTTCCTCTCTTTGTTTTCTTCAGGTGACATCTCATGCTCCTCTTTCTCTTGCAGCAGAGCACTGAAGTACTGGTAGTCCTCGGGCTTGATAAATGGCAGGCCCTCCGGGGTTTCCTTCGGCACGTCGTACTGCTGGTTGCGATCCTCCTCCGGAATAGAGTACAAAGGCGTGCCACCCATTGGCGTCGGTGTCGCCAGCAACTTCCTCGCCGGAGTTCTAATAGGCACGTAGGACGCAGGAGCTTCGAGTACCTTGTACCCCTCGGTCGGAAGAATTGCGTCCAAGTCCTCGTCCGAAAGCGGTCGATTCCGCTCCTCAATGTCTCTCTCCCACCGATACATGTTGTACTGCTCCGGAGTCATGGTTGCCGCTCGCAGAGCAATCTGTCCTGGAGTAGGAGTCGCAAGGTCGGCACCTCCCATCGGTGTGATCCCCGGAGTGTATCCCAGAGGTGTAGCTCCAAGGATTGAAGGAGCACTTCCAACAGGTGTCTCATCCCAGCGAGAACGCTGCTTCTTGGGAGTGGCGGCTCCCGGTACGCCTCCAATGCTGGGTGTAGCATCCCACGCCACGCCAGGACCAGGCGTGACACCACCGCCAGGTCGAGGCGTCTCGTCCCACCGGTTCCGCCTTGGAGTTACAGGAGTCGCATCCGCGGACGCAGCTTTCCCCGGAGCAGGAGTCGCGTCCCAGCGGCTTGGAGCTGGGGTTGGAGCATCGGGAGCGTCCCACTCTGAGATCTTGGCCTTCTTTGACTCCTCCTCCTCCTTCGCTAAGTCCCATCTGTTCTTCCGCTTGGCAGCGGCAGCAGCAGCAGCAGCCGCGGACGACAGCTGCGCTTTCGTCGGAGCCTCGGAGGGCTCCTCTTTCACTTTCTTCTCCGTCTCCTCTTGCTTCTTCTTCGCGATTGCCCGGAGAGTCTCTTCCTTGTCCCGCTTGAGCTTCTCGTCCATCATCACCTCGGCATAAGTCCTGGTCGTGGGAGCTGGCGTCTTATCCCCCATGGCGAAGGCATCGTTCCTGTCCGGCGAGAGAGCTCTCTTAAACCTCGACTTGCGGTAGTCATCCTCCCTCGCCGCGATGGGCTGCGGCTTCCTAAACCCCAGCTCCTCGTCTGTCACTTCTCCGCGTGGCATCTCCGCTAGCACAGATTTGGGCGCGGTGTACGAGCTGAGCTGCCTACGCGATGCGCTAACCTGTTTCTCCCTCTCATTCCCGTCCTGATCCTCCTCCTCCTCGGTCGTGGCGATGGAATTCACATACTCCATCTTGTCCCCGTACAGATCATTGTCGAAACTTACAGCTGAGAGCGCGGCGAGCTCCTGCTGCTTCTGCCGCCGCTCCTCTTGCACGCGCTCGATGTCGTCGTCCAATGCCATATCTGGGAAGAATCCACACAGAGTGAAACCGCGCCAAGAGCGCCAAGAACCCTACCTGGAAATGCGACGCCCTAAACTCCCCGGATACCCTAGCGCGCAAGGCCTATCTTTATAGTAGTCGAATGGACGGTTACGATCGTCTCACATACAACCAACGGCTGCTGACTCGCTTTCTTAGGAATATGCTATGCTCGTGAGTGGCATTAGGGCAAATGCTCCGCCAAGGGGAGCGGCTATGCGCACGGGAGCGCCAGGTACTCCATTCTTTCACCACGGCTATGGTTCTAGCTCGGGAGGAACAGGCGGTCTGGTAGTCGTCGGCGTTGTCGGGAAGAATGAGGAGGATTTGTCGCAGCTGCTGGACAGGATTTTGGATCAGCGGGTGTTTGGGGGGATCTCAGGCCATTTCTCGACGAATTCCGGGGCGTATGGCAGTAGATTAGATGCGTTTGGGCGGATTCCAGTCCCGGGCAGCGGCAGGGCGGAGGCTACTGCCGCCTCGAGATATGGGAGTTGGATGAAGAACAGGCTGCGGCACTACTGCGATGAGGAACGAGGGATTCTCTTCGTCTTGTTTCCGTGTGGATCGCTTCCAGTGGAGCTCCTCGCGGAGGAGGATTTCTCTGTGATGGGCTTGGCCTCTTTGCTCGAGCAGCATGAGATGTTTGGAGTTCGAGGACTTTTCTTCATGTTCTCGGTAAGTTTGCTTGCTGTGTTTTTGTTTTCTCGGGAGCTCTTAGCTCTTATTCTTTTTTTCCAGGTATGTCACGTTGTTCTCTTGGTTCAAGAAGGAGCTAAGTTTGATCCACGGCTCTTGCGGCTCTTCCGAGTGTTACAAGCCGCAAAAGCAGCGATCAAGATGCCGCTAAAGGGAGCTCAAGCTCGGGGTTTTTACACAGGTAGCTCGCCTGTGAGGGGTGGTCGCCAGGCTTCCGGTTTTTCTCTCATGTCCGGGCTCTCACACGGTTTGTTCCCGGGGCAGTGTACTCCGGTTCTTCTCATCGTCTGCATAGACGACTTCTCGGAGTTTGAGACTTCGGACGCTACAGTTCGGCAGTCGAAACTTTCCACGGGGGTAAGACAGGTTGGGAAGCTAGAGCAGGGAACACGACGAAAGTTTCAATCTTCGGTGGAAGCTCAGGTCCGGTTCTTGGTAAAGAAGAGCCGAACAATTCTTGGCTTTGGTGACTCTGGCTTAGGAGGTGGTATGGGACTTAGAGGCTCTGGCAATGTCATGGGAGCCGTTCCAGGTGGCGGTGGAGGTCCGGCACTCTTTACTATGGACCCGTCGAGGGTGGTGTTGTTTGTGGATCGCTTTTCGAATCGATGCTGCGATGCTTTAGAGGGTACTATTACCATCTTGGAAAACATGATCAAGGGGATCCCAAACGCAGAAGGGGCTCTTTGGGAGAATACAAGTGGAGTCACCGAGGACATACAGGCCGTAAGAGATTTTATATGGAGACAGGCCGAGATTGTTAGAGGCAGGGGAGGTACTCAAGCAATGTCTGTGGGTGTTGGGATGGTAGCTGCTGCCGCTGCCGCTGCTGCTGCTTCCGCTGCTGCCGGTTCCATGGGTGGTGCACTGAGGCCAATCTCGAATCCTCCTGAACTTCCAACTTTGCAAAGCTGGCTGGCGGCGAGCAACACAATTCTCTCGTCGCTGCTGAAGTTTGAAGGAAAGGTGGAGGTTTCTCGACGTCAGAGCTGCCCTGGATCGGGAGTTGATGCTAGTGCCGGATCAGGTCTCAGACTTTTCAGTGAGGCAGACTTGGCGTGCATAGACTTAGCGTGTGCGGACACGAACACCAAGTTTTCAGCTTCTTGGTGCAAAAAGGCCATGCCTTCTGCTCGAGGAGTTTACTTGAAAGGACTGCCACCCTGCTATCCGACTGCTGTTCACAAGCACCAGTTGGACAAGGCTATCGGCGCCTTTAGAAGTATGGTGAGAGGCCCAGCAGTGAACGTGTTCTTGGAGAAGCTCAAACGAGAGTGTGAAGCCTTGTGGAAGTCGGGAAGGCAGTTGTGTGATGCCGTCAGCCTTACAGGGAGGCCGTGTACGCATCAAGTTCCAGAAAATGCCGAGAAGGAAGAAGTGCAAAGGCCTCACTCCAGCGGTTATGTGTTTCTCAGTGCCTGTGCCTGTGGAAGATCACGGAGGCTGCGAGAGGATCCTTTCGACTTTGACAGTGCAAACGTATCCTTCTTTCGGTTTCCAAACTGCGAGGACCTGCTACCGTCAGTGGTTCTGCCCCATCATTCGAAAGCATCGGAAGGGTCTGCATGGAGCATACTGCGGTTGGGGAATGCAAAGTATTATCAACCATCGGCTGGTCTTCTGCAAGCTGGTTTTTGCGCCGATCAAAACTATCTCTCTCACTACGACATGTCACTCCACTACAAGTCTGCTGCTGAGCCGGAAAAGACGTTGGAAGGCTCTAAAATTTCAAAGTCGTCGTCTGATCAGGGAACGGTGTCGAAGAAGCATTCCGAGGATCTGAAATTCAAGCCCGCGGAGAAGCAAAAGAATGCTGACGTGAAACTTGACTACAACGAAGAGTCTGCTTTTCCGCCACTTCCTCAGAAGAATGGTCCAAAGCCAACGAAACAAACTCCTAAGAAAGCACCCGTAAAAGCAATGGAGTCCAAGACCAACAAAAGCGAGCAGCCGAAGGAGATGGTAGAAAATGGTGGTTCTCCTTTGAAAACCATTGCTGCTGACGCGGGGGGCGCTCGTGCAACCAAAGAGGCCACGGACGTTGGTCTTTACATCGGGTTTGAGCACGAGTGTCCTCACGGCCACAGATTCTTCCTATCAGTGGAGCACTTGCAGAAGCTTAGCCCTCCATACTCTCAGCAGGCTGGAGTTGAGAAGAAAGCAAGGCGGAACAAGCTGAGAGGCAACCGAGCAGCACATTTGGATCGAACTGTTCCCGCAAGAACATCGGACAGGCTGCAAGATGGTGTGTCTGGCTCGCTCATCGAGTTCAATGCTGCGATGGAGAACCTGAGCGTGGCCGAAGCTGGTGGTGACGGACGCGTGCTACTGAACTCGGACCTCCCGATCTATATGGAATGTCCGCACTGCAAGGCGAACAGCAACAAAGAGAGCGACTTAAATTATGCTGGGACTGTTTCGCGCTTGCAGCGTATATTTCTGGTAAGTTTTCTTCTTGTTCTTGTAAAGACTTAGAGCTGCGGATTTTGTTTCAGGTAACCCCACCGTTTCCATTGCTCATGGCTTCGTGCCCTGTGGTGCAGTTTGATGTAAGTACTACTTTGCGTGTAAATTTTTTTCTGATGCGATTCTCGATTTTCTCTTCTAGGAAACGTCGACACCTAATGCTAAGTGTGCCATGCGTTTTAGCTTCAACTGCGAAGTGGTATTGCCACCAGACAGTTTTTTGAGCTTACGCCTGCCTTTTGTGTACTGCACAGAGAATGAGGATGGTTCTCTGTTGCCACTGCAGTACAAAGAGGATCACCCCGAGCTGAGCGCCTGGCTTGTCAAAGGCACCGTATTTTATGTCCTCTCCGGCAGGCAGTGACGACAAGAGACACGATTTCTTCCACTTCCACGATCCAGCTGCAGCAGACGTTATGTTTTCTCCCTCCAGTGATCACCACTTCAGCAAAAATCGTCATCGAGGTCTTTGCAAAGGGAAGCTCGCTGCCGCCAGTCTCGCTTCATCGAGGTCCATGGAAAATGGTAAGCTGCACGCATTCAATTTCGTCAAACTAAGACTGTTCCTTTTTGCAGGCTCTGTGAGAGACCTCTCCATCACTTCGGTTTCGTCCAAGCTCTTGGCTTCGCTGTTGATATGTATAGCTAAGGCAGACAAGGAAACGTCACAGCAAAGGTGGTACGTCTTTTCATTCCAGCGATCCTCTTGAAAATTGCATATAACCTTTGGAATTGCATTGCAGAGCTCGTTCAAAATCTTTCTTTCGCTCGAATCAACAGCGTCCCTGTTTCTAGTGCTGCTGCTACGCACGAAAAAACTGTTCTAGAGAAGAAAGTTCTAGCACGAACTCTCTCACTCCCAGAGAAAACTTTGGGGTATATTCTTCCTCCCTTAAGCGTACGGCGGAGATTGGCCGTGATGTCATGCATATGGTACTGGTCATGTGCGTCATGTGGGGCATGACGTGGCGTGTGGGGAGGGCATGACGTGGCATGTCGGCATGGATGAGGGCCACGACAACACCATTCATCGGCATCGTCTTGGGCATTTTACATTCATCCGTTCCTCTCCCCAAAGCAGGCGTGCATTGTCCACGTTAGGGTTCCAGTGAGGCGCCTTGTTATTTCGAGCCCTGGGGCGATGAGCGCGGCGCGATCGACGAGCAAGGCAGCGGCGCGACGCGCTGGGATTGCGTCTTGCTTGATTGATTGATTGCCGTGCTCCCTTTCTCGATCCCGCGGGGATTTTGGTGTCTCTGGAAAGGGGGCTTTGGCTGAATTTGCGTTTCCCGGGGCGATTCCAGGCTTGGCACCTCCAATGCACAGATTCTGAGGTAAATTTCTTTCTCTCACTTCCATCATCACTTTGATTTTGTGTGTTCTTGCTTGCCCTTCCCTTTTGATTTGAGCTGGATGTCTGGATGGTTGTCTATCTTTCTTTGGATTGACGCCTTCTTCTCTTGGCCAGCGTTGATAGTAAGGGATCCGATCGGCGGACATGGGAAGGCTGTGCCTGATAGAATTGGATGGGCGATTCTACAGCTGCCATTCTTGCCGGACACACCTCGCAAACTTCGATCAATTGATGTCAAAGGCATGCCATCCTATCCCTCGGTCTTCCTGCTTTCGTTACTCTTAAAATGTCTGATTAGAGGCCGTTTTCTCGTGTGCTGTGTTTTTATTTTTTTTCTTTCGCTTCTCCGCCCAGGCCTTTCACTGCCGACACGGAAAGGCTTATCTTTTCAACACAGTGTAAGTTCTCTCTCTCTCTCGCAACAAAGCAAATTCCCCATTCTTTCTTCATCGCTTGGAGGTATGATGAATCTCCATTGGCCGCATTTCCTTTTGGCTGCGTCTATTAATCTCCTCGCGTGTTTTTGCAGCTTCTTAGACATGAATCATGGTAGTGTTTGATAGGAACTAACCAAAGCTCTTTCTTTTTGTAATGGAGCTGCTTGCGACGTGACAGACGCCCTGTCACGGGAATTTGCATTGGATGGGATGGAGTGTTTCTTCGTTCTACGATATGTCCTTTCAGAGGATTCGACGAAGGCATCATATATCATCGGCCAGGCCTTTGATAGCGAGTGGACACATGGATGGTGGAGAGAGGTACTCTTTGGTATTAATATTTACAGGGTCCTTCGGGCGAGAGAAGCTCAAAGCAGTGACAACATCTTAGAGCTAAGGCTGGATTTCTTTTTTCTCCCGGTAGCACTAGGACTGCATTGCATGGCTATGCTGCTGATTTCCCGATCTCGCTTTTTCTTTCTTTCACATCCTTTTTTTCCTTTTAGCACTGACGCGGCGTGTGTTTCTCTGTTCCCGCAGTGTTAATGTGTTTGAGGGACCATTGGAGGAGCGGATGATGACAACCGGTGTCCACACTGTGGCTGACATTTACTGCAAGGGGTGCCAACAGAATGTTGGCTGGAAATACGTGAGTGGAATCCATCTATCACCATGCTTTTCTTCTTTTTCTCGTTCCTTGTTTCGTGCTTTGACTTGGTGCTATTGCTTTCGCAGGAATTCGCGCAGCACAAGGCCCAGAAGTACAAGGAAGGGAAGTTCATTTTAGAGAGGTAAATGCCGTCATTCAATGTTTTGTATGTGACATCAAGGATCTTGCTCGTTTGTTTGCAGAGGAAGAATTGTAGGTTGCGAGAAAGGCGATTTCTATCTGGAAACACAGGCGATTGGAAGTGACCCCGACGACGTACCGCTGGAATGATATTGAATGGATGGCAGGGAAATAACAAAAGCAAAGCGAAGCAACGCAGAGGAAAGAAAAAAAAAAAAAAAAAAGAAGCAAGGACACAAACTTGACACTTGCAGCATTGTCTAGATTCTCCCTCACAATTGTTGTATAGCCTCCAAACTGTAAGAAAGATTCCCATTTAAAGTTCCTCGGATTAGGAGTAAACCTTCCTTTTCGCGAAGGAAAAGTTGGTGCTAGTTTTTGGAAGGTAGACACTACGTGAAGCACCAAACCAGGCAAGAAATTCGTATCACGCGAAGAGACCATGCTTTTTCTTTCTTTGGTGGGCATCTTTGGAAGGAACGATGGTCGCCCGCCAACTTTCTCACTTACATTAAAATACTGCTCTTCTCCAGCTGCTTGACTTTGTCACAATGATATTTTTAAGAAACAAAAAAAAAAAAAAAAAACCGTAAAAAAGAGCGAAAAGAGTAAACGAAAGGAGGAAAACAAAAAAGGCTTCGTTAGCTACAACATAGAGCACTTGGGAAGCAAAACAGTGCCCGCCTGTATATAGCGTTACAACAACAAGTCTCTCACTTTTGCCTGTGTTGCGTCACCTCCTCTTCTCACAATGTGTAAGAAAGAACTCGTCGTTCTTCGCTCGCTCGCCTCCATCAACTTTGGCAATTCGATCCTCTTCCGAAAGCGCTCAATCGTTTGGATCGTTGTCCTCGTCCACCTCCGCCATGAAGGCGTCCTCGGACGGCGATCGCTCGGCAGAGTCCACCACCGCCAGGCGATCGACTGCTGCTGCCGCAGTGGAGTTGAGAGGAAGCTCCTCCTCCTCTACACTGTCCATGAAATCCATGTCCTGTTCTTCTGTGTCACCGAAACCTGCGAGGCCGCTTCTCCTGCTCCACTCGGGGCATCTCCCCGGCGCCTCGGCCTCGCTCTGGCTCTGGTTCCTCGAGCACACGCACTCCGGAAGAGGGTGGGACAAAAACGAGAGCGGCCTCACGCTGGAGGAAGCTGCGGCAATCCCCTCCTCTCCGGACGACTTGAGTATCGAGTTTCTCGCGGCGGCCATCCACTCGCGACCGGGATCATACATATGATCCCGGACTTGCATCAACAGCTTCGCCAGTGGCTTCCTGTCAAACAGTCACAACACGGACGTGAGCAAACATAACAAGCAAAGGCTACGATTAGAAAAAGCCTACCTCTCCGGCCGATAAGTTCTTCGGGATGCTCCAGCATATACACGGTGTCCCATCACGAGGCTGGCGAAGTTTGGATGACCACTCTTGTCCTCATCGAACGCACTGAAAAAAGCATCAGCCTGTGTGCAAATAATATAGTCGAGTGCCTGCCACAGCAGCTTATGGCTGCGGATCCTCATATCCTTGAGCGCTGGTGCTGGCTCCGTATCGGATTCCCCGATCCAGCCCCACCATCCTTCCAACTCATGCGAGTACTTTGGCCTCCCTGCGGGTGGTGGCAATGGCCTCGGCCTCGGCCCGGCTTTTTCCCAGGCTGCCAGCCTCGCCTTCTCGTTGATCTTTGGCAGGATGAATGGCGGAGGCGGTGGAAAGTCTGGCTCCTCGCCGTAGACTGTGAAGCGCTCTCTCGCGGTCGTGAGCGTTGTCCTGTCCTCGAGATTAGGATACATGCTGCGGAGTGGGAGAAGTATTCGCTGGCCACCAAAAACTTCGACACCTGAGATGTAAATGCGTGAAGTTTGCTTATATCCTAAGGATCGAAGGAGAACGCCAACCTTGAAAAGCAAAAGTGGAGATTTTAATCTCTAGCCAGTGGACTAACGAGCTGGAAATAGAAGAGTACACGTACCTCGTCTGGCATCAGAGGACAGGAGCCATTTAGCCACTGCATCTCCGAATCGACGTTAAGCTCCCCACGCACAATACCATTTTTTATCATCTTGGCTCTTCTGTATTGAATTAATTCCGTGTGAACATCCTGGAACCATAAAGTTGGTTTAAGACAACGACGTGAGAATAGATTTTGATTGTACCTGGAACCGCTCTGCACAGCCATGATATGCCAGCGTATCTCGTTCCAACCCAAGGTGCAAAGCCATGAATGGCTTTCCAGCAGTTTTCAATCTGATCACCATCAAGTACTTTGTTTGAAAACCATAAAAAAGGAACACGTTTGGTATGCTCGTACCTGGCCAGCATTTTTGTGCTGAGCTCCTCTATCTCCTGCCGGAACTTCAAAGCGTGGAAAGCAACGCGGCAGCGCAATCTCTGATAGTGCTCCAAGTCCGTGCCGAGCAAGCTCTAAAAGACCGCTCATATATCTCAAACTCCACATCATAGAGCGGAAAAAAAGAAATACCTGGAGACAACCTCCACCGGAAACCGAGAGCCCGACAACACCCTCCTTTTCAATCTCGGGAAGAACATCTTGAACGTAAAAATCCACAGAAGTGGTGCTCGACACCACAAGATAGCTCTGATTCTTCGTTTTCTGCCGCAATCTTTTCGGAAGCCGAGTGACAACGGGCACGTCGTTCGAAAGCACCGAAACGAAGTGCTGCTCATCATACAGGTAGTCGAATCCTCTAAACTTGGAACTGGTTTGAGAAAACAACATAGAAAACAAAGAAAATACGTGATTGAGAGATACAAACGTTTTTCAATGAAACCATACCTTATTTGCTTGGCAACGACTTCCCGGAGCTTTGGAACAACAAGAGTGACATTCAAAAGCCTGGCCACCACGATGAGATCGCAAATCTAATGGAAAGAACAAAATGATCCACCACAAAACTAGAAAAAATTAAAACGCTTCATAGGATCGCTACAGTCTAGGAACAAAGAAACAAAACGAGGAAGAAACAAGGAAGAACTTACTGAAGACCTAATCTCGTGGAAGTCTCCCCGGATTTCGGCGTGGAGAAATCCTCTGGTGGCGAGAATGGGCGCTGGGTGGACGCCGCCCGGCTGCTGGAGCTCATCCGCGGCCCTGGCCCAGGTGTAGTAGCGCGCCGCGAAGAAGTGGGCGGCCAGGGAAATCATGGACAGCGCCATGCCCAGCACTGCCACTGTCTTGAGGCTGGATTTGAACGCCATGCCATTACGCATTGCGAGATCACGCCCGCGCGCTGCAGATCGCGACGAGAATCATCCCGGAGACGAAGAAGAAGAAGAAAGAAGCTTCCAAAAAGAGATCGGGGGAAAAAACCCTACTTGAGCCGCGGGCCTTGTCAGCGCCACGTCATACATTATTTTCTCTCTCATTATTTTGTTTTGACTAGGGATCGAACCCAAATCTTATCCGTTGTTTTAAGTGTAATGATCTCATGGCCCAACGGATAAGGCGCTGGTCTACGGAACCAGAGATTCTGGGTTCGATCCCCAGTGGGATCGTTTTGCTTTGCTGCTTGTTTTCAAATATCAGGGCTTCCATGGCGATGGTGCTCCAGGAAGAGCTGCGTCAGGTCTTCGAGGTAGAGTGGCCAGTCAAAATTTTTGCTCTAGCAATCAGTCATTCAGGTGATCGAAGCCAGGAGTAGCGCCAATGACTTGAATCTAGTGGTACATCTCACCAAGGCAAGATCGTTTTCATTCATGCAACTAAAGGATCGGGCTTCCTTTCTTCTTTTTCTTGTGCAGGCAACCAAGATTCTCAAAGAAATGGCACAAGACGAATCAACCAAAGTAATCACCAGTTTCTCTTTTCTAACTTCAGCCATGGTTTTTGCAGCTACATTGTGATGATGAGCAAGGCAGTCGTCTTTACAAGCTCTTGGAATCTCATACAAACTTGCTTCTGGTATGTTTTCTTTTCTTTTCTTTTCTTTTTCTCAAACACACAAGTGCTTAGCTACGTGTTTTCCAGAGCCTGTTACTTTGCCTGGATGATCCATATGTTGTTCATTGTGCTCGCAAGACACTACTCGGTATTTCCGACTACCTCTTACCATATGTAATGCTGTTACGCGTTCCTTGATCGGTAACTCAATGTTTTTTCTTCCAGAAAACTTGGAGAACATATATCCAGCTTCTGTGGACAGCCTCTCGATCGCCAACGACGGATGTGCTATTACTCTTCCGTGACATTTTCAAGCTTTGTCACGAGAGAAGAAGGCCGAGCGCTACCGAGGTTCTTGTGGAGTGTCTGGGATGCAACATGTCTCTGTTGATCACTGATCACCCTTCTGGCTTGTACTGGGGAGCTTTTCTCAGGCTGCTGATTACTTCAGTACGGATTCTCCAACGACAAGAGGAAACTGTTCTAAGTTTGTCTTTTCTGGCGAGACTAAAAGATGTGCTACCGTCAGTCGCGAAAAACTTTTCTCGTGAAGATTTTACTAGTGCAAGATACGCCAAGTACAAATCACTGGTATGTTTCTCATAAAGCACACACTTGTTGTACTCACGTTTCTTGTTTCCGACCAGGTGCTACTGCTCAAACTGTCAGATTTTGGTGATCCCGAAGTGTCACTTTGTTCTTTGACGCTTCTTTCCACTGCAGAGCCTGGACTTTTACAGCCTTCGTTGCGGACATCTCCAAAACTGACTCAGTCCTCACCATTTCAAAACAGCGATGATGCATCGCCGGAACTACAAAGGCGTGCCATACTCATTTTGTTGAAGAGCGTGGTCACAACGAAGAAAACTGCTTCCGAAGATGTGAACAAGCTCGCAGAGAAAGTTTTCCTCGACTGGCTCGCAGGTCAAGACGAAACCCATGGTGCTATGGATGATCTCCTCTTGTCACTGGTACACTTGTACGTGGACGAGGTAGATGTTTAAAAATGCTGTTGTTGATTGACAGATTTCAACATTTTCAGGACGATATGCTGCTCAACCTTCTCGTTACTTTCATGGACTTCCAATCTGATTGGTAATCTTTCCTTCTTTCGGTTGTCCTCATCAAGCCTGTGCGGATTGCAGGTACAAAACCAACCACTATCAGGCATTTTTCTGCTCTATTTGTCCTCGGCGAGTTTTCCATCTATTTCTTGCAGGGGTATGCTTGTTGTCTTTTGATTCTAGAAATATATGGTGCTCAATCGTAAAATCCACAGATATGTTATGATCACACCGTGTTGATCGACTTGCTTATCTCTGAGACTTCCGGGGTATCATGTATTCACTACTTGCTCAGGTAATTCTTGTGTTTGAAGATCCAACCTTACGTGTGCGCGCGTGTACTTGTGCAGATGCTTGAGAATGATTGGAGACGACTGGGCTGAGTTCCTGCTGCTACCTCGGGAGATGAATACCTACAGCCTTGAAACGAGGAAGAGAAAACGTGTCGACGAGCTTCCACTGGTCCATGAAGTCTCGAGTGAGCGGGCAAAGCTTTGCCTCGTTCATCTCCATGACTCTATTCAGCGGCTGCATGCCAGGAACTTATTTCCATACAATGCTGGCCCGCTTCTTCAAAGGTAGCAAAGGATTCGAAAAAACTTTCTCTACTGATGTTCGCGTTCCTGTGCACCAGGCTCGCTGGGTGTAGCAAGCTTTGAACGTGGTCGAATGATACAAGAACACAACAGGCCTCGTTTGATAGTTGAAGAGCATTCTCAAATGAATCGAGAAACGCTCGCTCGAGAAATGGAGAAAAGCTCGCGGATCGACGAGGAAGATTCACGCCGGAAAAGCTCAACCAAAAGAGAGATATCGAAACTATCACAGGGAGATACACACTAGAGAGAGAGAGAGAGAGAGAGAGATTAAGTCATTCGCTATTTTAAATACTTATTCCACTTTTAAATTTTAACCATTTCTAGGGTTAGGGCTTTTGAGCATGGCGATGGTAGCAGAAGCGCCATGCCTGCTCCTTGCGTTCTCCATGTTGATTGCTACTGTCTTGGCACATTCTTCATTAGCGATGGCGCCCGCTTTCATCTGGTCGAATCTCAGGTATCACTAGTCACTAGCAAGCGGCAGCTGGAAATTCATTGCAATTTCGCTCAGATGTGTAGATTCAGGGCAGCGAGTGAACTACCAGGTGTCCGATGCTCGGTCTGTCACACGCGCGGCGCTTGAGCAGCTGGATATGAAGAAGGTAGAGCTCCATTTCTCCTTGAAATCTCTACTTATCTTCCGCTTTGCTTGCCTTCAGTGTTTGGATGGATCCGAGAAGCCAGCCGATTTGCTTGTGGCATTTGTAGGAAGTGAGGTAACGTCGTTTGTCGATTCTAAGCTGTTACAGAAGGGAGTAAGATCTTCCATTTTTTCCAGGTTCGTTCCGTGGAGCTCTCGAATGAGTTGAGCTCCGATACTGTTGAGAAACTTAAGGTAATTGGTCCCTGCTACCTCTTGAAGAGCTGATACAAGTTTTTCTCATTTCCCGCAGGGGTTGATACTGGCTTCCAATTCGTCGCTGTCATTTCCATATGTCGCCGCAGCGGATGGAATCTCAATTGGCAGCGATGTAGTTCGCACACTGCAAGATAGCACGGACTTGGTTGCGGCATTTGGATGTCCTGGCACGCTGTCCTCGCTATCGGTTCTAGAAGCCGAGGTTCTTACAGCTTCCCGACACTGGAGGTTTTAATTTTTCCTTTTCTTCAGAACTACGTCGTTTCAACGAAGGCCGAGCATGCACAGGTCTTGTTACTCTGTTTGTCTTCCTCAGCACTGGAACCTGAAGGTCTGTATGCGTTTTTTCCAAGCTCGCTCGTTCCATCTAATAGATTTCGCCACGGCATTTGCAGGACAAGTCGTGCAAAGGATTCTCTCCAAGCTGGAGGAGTCTTCCGTTCGATATGTAGCTTTGTACGCATCGGATCCTCTTGGATTCGAAAGTTTCTACGCGTCGAAGCACAGGATGCTGGCATCGAATGACACGAAGCCATACTGTGACGATGTTTGCAAGACAAAAGCGACACTTCTCGAAGCAATCTTTGTGGTAAGCTAGTGTCTCTTTTCTTGTTTCTTTTCATTCTCTCACGAAAACATACTTTTGACTGCCACAGGTTATCGTTCTTCTTATGATCCTGATTTCCGGCCTGTGCTGCATGATGGGCATCCAAACACCGCTCCGATTCGAGAAGCCACACGAAGGCTAGGAATTTTTACACCGGACTACTACGGAAAAATTGTAAGCTTTGTAATTTAATTTCCTAATAACAGCTCGGAACAACGAAAAAACCGCTTCGCATCCAAAGGAATCCATACACAACCTTTTTTACAAGGATCATACCACGAACGTAGGCACGATTTACATGATGGTGCATCTGCTCCGGCTCTCCTCCGGAGCTCCATTCTGCTGAAGAAGACGCCTCGACTCGGATGGTGTGTAGGAAAACTCCCCGGCATACTGGACAAATCAAAATGTTTGTATTGTGAACGCTGAAATGAGATCGAAGAAAAGAATTTGAGAACCTTGTCTCTCAGCTTGGTGCTCCGTGTAGATGATAGCTCTGGTGGCGATCCTTGACGCCGAACGTTTGATCTTGTCGGAGGTCTAACGTAGTCGTCGTCACTGTCATAGCCGGACCTGTTAAAGTCGCCGATCACGGCTCTCAGGATCATTCCAAAGAGGAGGCTCAGAACCTGTGCAAGACATTTTCGGAAAATACCAAGAGGAAAAAAAAGAGATACCTCCACAATGACAACGCTCAACCCGATCCACTTGCAGAACTCGGCATTTTTCTCCACAAACTTCCTGATGCTGTGGATTTCACCAGTGGGATCTTTTGGAAAGTCCTGGATACGAGCCTTGAGAAAACAAGAACAAAAAGGGAAGAACGAGATAATTACCCGTTCCCATGACTTGTCGAAGAAAATGGTGGCAGCGAGAGCTGCTTGGAGCAGAAGAAAAATTCCCAAGAACACAGAGCTCTGCAAAACAGAAAAAGTTCCATCCGAGACAAGAAAAGAAAATTGGAGAAACTTACGCAGCACAGGCAGCATCCACTGGCAGCTTCGGCCGCAACGTATCCCGAGAAAGAGATTATGCAAACAAAGATGCCAACTCCCATGAACGCGTACACAAACCTTACACAAAGCAAAAGAGAAAAAAAATTCAAAACCATGTGAGTAGTAGTAAAAATTACAGGCATACCATGGAACCGGAAGAGAGAGCTCAATCCGCGACGAATTTGCCATCGCCCCCAGCAGCTCGGATCGAACAACCGGCAAAGAATTCAATCCATCGTCGTCATCCCCGTGCTTGTGGAGCTGATTGAGCATCCACACCGAGTAGAGGATCATACCTAGCCCAATCACGAACAGCAGCAAGTTGAGGAGCTTGACGACGATCTGGAGGCATCCCCGGCATTTCATCTTGCGCGCGCGGGCGAGCGATGGAGCTATGGCGCAATGGCGCAGCGTGGCGCACGGCACAGATCTACCAGCTCAGCTAAATTTGCTTCCTCCAAAAAATAGGGCTCTTGCATTGGGTCCTTAAAATTTTAAATTTAAGGGAACTTTTTAACTACTGTCGTCCTCGTTCTTCGTACTGCGATGGTTTATCTTTTGTGCGCGATACAAATCCACAACCTGAGAATGCAAAGAAGGATGTTATATATTACAATGCAACACGAACAGCCGCAAGAGTGGAACCTGGTCGGAAGAAGTTGCTTGCTCGGGTTTTTTATCCTCCCTCATTCTTAGCAGCCGAGGAAATCGAAGAGAGATGCCCTGGCAATGCAAAAAGAATGGAGATGGAGAATTCCTTTTTGTCACTACAAAGAACATACCTTGCTTGTCTCCAGCTCGCCATACGCAGCTTTGTGCACGGGACTGATGCTTAGATCAGCAGCCTTCACCTCCCAGACCTGCAAAAACCCTTAGCTCTCGAATTCAACTTCTTCTCATACTTCTGCCAGTACCTCTACAGGATCGAACCAAACGTCCACCGCAAGCGTTTCACCGTATCGGTAGTAAGGCTAAAGCGCAAGGATGAAGTGGAAACATTAAGTGGAAACTATGGGGAGAGTACGTACCCTTGGAGTGTCAATGACGTGCTTTCGAAGAGTGTTGGACCGCTCCTCGAGAACAGCTTCAGTAAAGCCCGTGCCTGCACAAGCGTGGTTTTAGTCGAAGTGACTCAGGAGCTGTGCGCATCTACCAATTTTGCAAATGCTTTGGTATTCCTCCTTGTCGGGATCATAGCATGCCAAGAGGAACGCACCATAGACGCCTGTTCAGTAAAACGTGTAGCAAGAAAAAAAAGTACAAGAGGATGCGGTCTTACCAACTCGCTTTCCTCGTCCATGGAATGCACCGATCGGAACCAAGTCCAGCGAATCTCCTATGCTGAGAAACAGAAGTTTAGCTTTGAAGAAAAACAACAAGAAAAACAAGGAAAGAAAGCAATGCTTACGTATCCATGTAATCCTTTTTGAGCTTCAGCCAATTGTTTGAGCGCTTTGCGGGCTCATACGTCGCATCCTTCTCGAGTGTCTTGACAATTAGTCCCTCGCAACTGCGCCACACAAGTCAGACTATCGAAATCCAACCACGATAGAGACAAAACCTATGATTGATGGCATCGTTCAGAAAGCTCTGAATCTCTTCCAGCTCTTTGGTGTTTGTTGCGGTTGCAAACTGGAACTCTCCAGGTTTCTCGATAAAGGATTGATATAAGAGCTGTGAAAACGTCCAAAAGTTTAGTCGCAAAGATCAGAAAGAGTCTAACCTCGCGCCTTCTAACAAGTTGTTCTTGCAATAGTACTCTACCATTTAGATATAAGAGATCAAACGCAAATATGAGAACTTTCACTTTGATATCACTTAAAATAACGCCCTTCCTTGCCCGGGTGCTCAAGACCTACAAAAAATACTTAATTACAAACAATGAAAAGCTGATCGCATCTTACTTGAAAAGGCAGGATCTTGTTGCTTTCCTTGTCATATGCAACTATCTCGCAATCCATTACAAATGAAGACACCTCCGGTTTCTTATAGCTGTATCAAGAAAATCAAGCCTGTCTCGTAGGAAACAACAATACAATTCGTACCCACTTATGGAAGAAGTTACATCTGGAAACTTCCCAGTGTTGCGCTCTGCATTTCTGCTATAAACTTCGACCCTGCCATCCTCGAAGTAATGAATCTGTGAAGCGCACGTAAGAATAAGCAAAACAAAATGTTCTTAGCTACCTGTGCTCTTTCTCCATCGTACTTGTATTCACAAGTAAATACGGTGTTCTGGAACTTGTCCAGGATTTCCGATACACCTTTTGTAGGCTTTGCAAGCATGGGCCCAACCGGAACCCCTACTGTAAACGCACAAACTTCAGGTAGCTTGGAGATACCATCTGTCAGTAAAATAGGTACTATCTTCTCAAAAATTGGAAGAACCGAGTACGTTTGTTTCATAATCTCCGCTGCCTGTTTATCAAAAGAACCTGTGAGCTACAAGATATGCAGACGAGAAGCACAAACTATATCACCTCTTCTAGCCGACCTGGGAGCATTGAACTAGATACAGGTGGCTGCTCCGCATATACTGCGGCTTGAGCTAATGCAACCAAAACGGTGGCCTCTGCAAGTCCAACACGAAGCTTTGCCTGAAATTTTACAAAAAGAAACGTTAGAAAAGTTCATCAAATGAACCAACTCACCTGAAGCAACCGCACGAGGTATTGAGGTTCACAATCAGTCGCAGCAACAAGAAGTGACTTCATTCTAGATCTTTTCTTCTCCTGGCTATCCTTGCCACTTTCCTAGTGGAAGAAAGCTTTAGAAAGTAAATAGAGTTATGAAGATCGACTCTACCTTGGCTATGGAGCGAAAGGTTTCCAGTACTTTTGCGCAGGTTAAAGGAGGATGTTTGAACATCAGTCTTTGCGTTGAGCGACTGGCCTTAGCCACAAGTCCCAAGTCTCCAAGAGCCTGCATTCAGCCAGTATAAACAAAGCTAGAGGCAATAAAAACCGAACCTTCATCTGGCTCTTTATCTGGTCCTCCTTCCTCCCAAAGGCATCAGCAAGAGCTTTGATGATCGAAGCGTCACCAATTCCAAGCTCGATACCATCGTGAGCAGGAGCGATTTTATTTGCGGAGAGGTAAACCACCGGAAGCAAGTCCTGCGGCGTCGTTGCTATGACTGTCCGAAAAGCGTTGCAAAGAATCTCTGTCATGACAAGCCTCCCACTCTCGTTCGAGATCACTGCAAATGAAACTAAGTTTCCGAAAGAGCAAAGACAAAAAAGAGAACTTACTGTCCATCACTCTTGCGAAGAAGAGGAATGGGACTGGCTCTTTGTCTTCCCAGAACGCTGCTTTCCTTGGATCAAAAGGCTTGGAACGCAGCGCGTCCATAGCTTGATCCACGCCTGGCATCTCCCCTGTTACCTGTTGAGTGGAAGAAGTGGAAACTTCCCTCGTCCCCTTAGACGAAAGTGGAGCTCGTCCCTTGTTTGAAGCAGCGGCAGCGCTGCTCCGAGCAGCGCCCATGAGAACATCGGCCACAGTCCTGCCCGACATCTCTAGAGCGTTTCAATGAGGCAAATCTCTAGAAAGCTGCGAGAGAATTTACGTGTAGTGTCGGAGACGATTCAGCGATGGGAGAGCTCGGATCGATGGCGCTGCTGCTGCGACGAACAGGCGGCCCTGTAAACACGCTCGCAGTGTCGCTGTGGACGCCGATCGCGCCACGAGCATTCTAAAACCCTAATCTACTAAACCCTACAAGATGGAAGCTTTCTTTTTCTTTTTTCCCGCCATAGCCGCTATTTTACTCCCTGTGAGTGTTCTTCCATGGGCTGGGGCTGCGCTACCGCCGCCACTCCTCCAGCTTCTTCTTGCTGCTCCAGCGCTCGTTTGTACCATCGATTCATCGAAAAGATTGTCTGGATCAAACAAATCAATTGATCAAAGCAGCCATGGAATGAGAGGGAGGCCTGAGAGGGGGAGAGAGAGAGAGTCTAGGGCATATAGACAATCGAGAATTTCGACACGAAGAGAGAAGAGGTAGCTTAGCTGGATTACCTGAATGCCGGCAGCCCAGGCGAGGAGCACCGCCACTCCGACAGTGCGCTGATCAAACTTCATTCACGCCTAGGGTTTATGGCTCGGTCGAAGAGGTTTTTAGCAAAAAAACGAGACAACACTAGCTAAGATCTAGAACTCCTCCTCCAGATCGTCGCCAAGCCTCTCTTCTCTGATCGGCGCTGCTGGAATTTGCTCCACCTCGTCCACTCTCCCAAACTTCTCATTGAACCCGGGCTGCCGCTTGAGCCAAGACATATGCGCCTACAAACGAAGAAAAGAAAGAGGTCTCTTGCCTCTAAATCATCTTCGCAAACCTGTAACGCGGCAGCCCAGATGATGAGAACAGTAGCCGCGATCGCTCTCTTGTTCATCCCTCTAAAAGAAAGCTTAAGAAAGGAATATCTTACAATATATTCTTTACACCCTTAGGTTTAATCTAGTGACTGCTCAAGAGTTTAGAGATGCAAGAGTTTAGAGATGCTCTTCCAAATGAGAAGGATCGCGGTTTTACCATAGCGCTGCCTCCATGATTAATTATCGTTGAGCATGTTGCCAATGGGGTAGCATATGCAATTGCTTTATGCCAGTGCCACCAGACATCACACGGGTGGTATTTATATAAAGACGGACATATGGATTGCTATAATCATGTGATAATAGATTTTCCTGTTTTACTTTTTTTTCGTTCCATCTTGATAATTTTTTACACATAGTAAGAAATTTTGATGCAATAATAAGCCTCAAGTGAAATCACCAAGACTAAAATTTGCAATTACACTACAATTTTATTGCTCATTATTGCCCAAGTGGAAATTTAGACCAAATGTTATATTTTAATACTTTATTTCACTCTATTATTTATTTATATAACTACTGCTTTGCACTTCTTCAGAGTTCCCTACTGTCTCGTTTTTGTTCTAAATGTTATGTTTTGCTTGAAGCCTTTTTCTTTACTATGATCCAGTTGCCAAAAAATTGCCTAACTTGCAAGGGCAGAACTCATCACACATTGATATTAATATGGTCAGCATGCAAACTTCAAGGCTTCTAGATTCTACGTTTAGTGAACTGTCCAATAATAGAATCCTATTCAAATGATATCTATCAACACTTTCCCCCTTTGCCTTATTAAGATGCTTACCCCATGCTTCTAGTGAAACTCGCAATCGTCACTGAGATCGCGATGCCAAATTTTAGCTGCAAACTCGTCCACATCAGGGACGCATGTGTTTCCTTTGTCAACACCGGGTGGATCCGCCCACTTAATTAGCGGGTCTGGATCTTCAACCAGAAATGCCATCATTTGCCTTCCCCGAATGACGGTGCCCTCCACTATTCCAATCACCATCAGGATGTCCTCGTCGTTGGGCGGATAGAACCTCCAAGTCACCGCCGGCGCGATGTTCCTAGGATAGGCCAGAGTCTCTAAAACAAGAAAGGAAAATAGGAAAGAAAAGATACCGAACGTCCGTAACCTTGCAGAACTTGTTGCCAGTTTTGTCCTCCTGAAACAGTGAACAAAAGGCTCTCAAAACCTTCCAGATTTTCCAAAAGCTTTCTCACGCCATACCTGTGGCTCTCCAACTTGAAGATCCGCATCGCTTGGAGGCGGGAGGTCTCGGTTAACGGTAACATGAAACAGCCTCCTCACACCGTCCTTGGCCTGCGCATGGTCCACCACACTCTGATCGCGATGCCAGATGCGAGCTACAAACGCATCCACGTCGGGGATGCATGTCTCCGAAAATCGAACTTTGGGACGAAGAAGCGGCTCGGGATCCTCGATCAGGTAAGCGACTCTGACCATTCCCGGAACCTCGGAATGCATTATTCCCAGCACCAGCAGCACCCCGTCCGCGTTGGGTGGATAAAACCTCCAGGTGACCCGTATCATACAAATCTTCCTGCTTACACACAATTCCCTTTGTGAGAGAGAGAGAGTCAAACAAACCTGGTGTCGGTAACAAGGTAGAATTTGTTCCCACATTTATCTGCCTGATCATAGAAGACCAGTCAATTTGAGATTTGAGGAAAAGGCAAAAATCAAGAGACCTGTAGCTGGCCAACTTGTAGATCTGAGTCGTTTGGAAGAGGACGAGAAGAGGTGTGCTGCGCTCGCCCAAATACCCTCCTCACTGAGTCCTTCGCCTGCGCCTCCATGCCCTGTTGCCGAATTGCCCTAACGCTTTACGCCGCCATCTCTTATTTATAGAGTAGCTTTACTCACGAGGACTCTCCCCTCACAATCCGAGCACGAACAAAAAAACTGTTTGCTCCATTCCCGCAGCGATGAATCATGAGCTAGACATAACACCCTGCCCGGATCGATTTCATGCCTGGATAATATGTTCTCTCTCACCATCACACACCATAAAGCTAAGCGAGTCTAGCGAAACTCCTCGACGTCGAATGGCCCAGCGTTGCTCGTGCCTCCCTCCATTCACGTAAAATTTCACAAATACAAAGTACAAGCTTAAATACTATTTAGTACTCTTAAAGGCATCATAGGACTGTAGTCACCACCCGTTTTTACCTCCCAACTACTACTGTTACCCGGAGGCAGAACGAGCAGGCTACGATCTTGCTTTTCTTTTGGGCGCTTCCGTCGCAGATCGTCCACAAACTTTTCTGTGAACTTGAAGAAATCTCACATAATGGTATCATAGCGTTCTTGTTTGGTTTGTCCTCATATTTCTTATCGATCCTCACTCGGATTCAAACAGAACCTGAATGGTGTACCTGATAGAGCAACCAGTTATTCCTCGTGTAAGGTTTGCGTTTTGATGGAACCAAAACTACATCTGGATCCTCTGTGCTACTCATAGTTAGCATACACATACAGGCAAAGATAATGATACCTCCCAAATGCCAGGTGATACGCTCACAGTCCGGTGCTCGGCCCTGTCCTTCATTTGTACAAGAACCTGATCGATGCTTTCTGGTGCTCATGCTGATGGAGAAGCACTTGATGCCGCTTGCCCAAGAGCCTCTTCCATGCCCTCCTCGTACATATACTTGCAGTCAACAGGTGTCCATGAAAGGTACTTAGAAACTCTACTCAAATCCCCATGGGTAGGCTGTGGCCTTCCTTTTCTTCTGTGCCTCCTCTAGAGGTTTTGGCTGGTTCAACAGTTGTAAGAATTGATTTATTTCAGAATCACGAATGTGAATGTGACAAATGTTTGGAATTGGAAGCTTCAGTTGCACCAATCAATAGCTTGTTCAAACTGGTGTGGAGGATTGCCCAAAAGCACTAAGAAATTCTTGAAACCAAAGAATTTCCCTGGAAGTAGCTGAGGTAGCAAGATACTCTACTTTTGTGGAGGAAAGAGCAACATAAACTTTCTAGCTTGTTTCAAGCTGGACTATTGTGGATTTATGGCTATTTATGTCGTCTAACAAATTCCTAGCACTATAAACAAAGAGAAAAGCCACCACTTGAGCCATATGATAATCCAAAAGCAAAAGTTTATTTTACATAATACATCACAGATTTTAGCCAATATGTACAAAATTGGCTAATAGCATATGCCAAATCTTGACAGCTGTAGACTATAGCACACATCAAAACTTCCAAAAAAAGGTTTGAAATAGTACCCTTGGCATGGTCTGGTGCTCCTTATTGAAAGGATACTCAAGACTTTCAAGAATTTGATGTTGCCAAGCTCTATGGGGATTACAATTCATAATTATCAAACTCTTTAGTCAAGTATTGTATGTGAAGATCCTATTAGAGTGAATTCCTGCACGCATACACGCCAGGAACGGAGCCTTATCACCTCTGGAAAGGCCTTGATCGCAGTCTGCTGCATACAAACAGCTCAAAGAAGAACGGTCTCAGGTTCGTCTTTCTTTTCTCGTTCGTGATTTCCTTGACTGGTTGCTTTGTTCAGGTCACGTGGAAAGCTGTGCAGCGAGTGCTCGGGACCGGATTCTCAGCAGACAGCTGCGATGTGAAGCTCGTCGGGACACCATTGACACATGAGCGTTTCTTACGCAGGCATCGTGGTACAAATAATCAAGCTTCTTCAAGGTTTTCTATAGCAAAAGCTTTTTGAAGTTTAGCCTTGATCTTATAGTTGTTGCTAATAAAGAGTGAATCATTGTTGTAAATATTAAATTCAAGAATGATAGGAGAAAATCCTTCAATTTTGAAGAAAGTGAGATGATATAATAAGTGGTTATACCAGGGTAATATATCATCCAGCAATGAGTGCCAAAAGTAAGCCAAAGACATTGAGGATTAACAATGATTTGGGTAACTTGATTGATAAGGTTTTTGTATGCATTTATAGAAATAAAAGTCTTTTGTGCATGTCATTCCCATTGTTTTCAGAAAGCGTTGATTATCTACCACCATGTTCTAAAGGCTTGTTTAAGGACATAAAGAGCTTTTCTGAGCTTTCACATACAAGATGTTGCTTTCCATGCTAGGTGTAGCCTTCTATTGAATGTATATATCTTCCGGAAAGCACATAACACACACATGTAACCAAGTACAAGTAAAACAACTTCCAGGGATGATTCTAGTGAAACTCGCAATCATCACTGAGATCTCGATGCCAAATTTTAGCTGCAAACTCGTCCACATCAGGGACGCATGTGTTTCCTTTGTCAACACCGGGTGGATCCGCCCACTTAATTAGCGGGTCTGGATCTTCAACCAGAAATGCCATCATTTGCCTTCCCCGAATGACGGTGCCCTCCACTATTCCAATCACCATCAGGATGTCCTCGTCGTTGGGCGGATAGAACCTCCAAGTCACCGCCGGCGTGACGTTCCTAGGAAAGGCCAGAGTCTCGAAAACAAGAAAGGAAAGAGGAAAGAAAAGATACCGAACATCCGTAACCTTGCAGAACTTGTTGCCAGTTTTGTCCTCCTGAACGAAAAACTAAAAACCTTCCAGATTTCCAAACTCTCACGCCATACTTGTGGCTCTCCAACTTGAAGATCCGAATCGCTTGGAGGCGGGAGGTGTCGGGTGACGGTAGCTCGAAACAGCCTCCTCACACCGTCCTTGGCCTGCGCATGGTTCACCACACTCTGATCGCGATGCCAGATGCGAGCTACAAACGCATCCACGTCGGGGATGCATGTCTCCGAAAATCGAACTTTGGGACGAAGAAGCGGCTCGGGATCATCGATCAGGTAAGCAACCCTGACCATTCCCTGAATCTCGCAATCCATTATTCCCAGCACGAGCAGCACCCCGTCCGCGTTGGGTGGATAGAACCTCCAGATGACCCGTATCATACGAATCTTCCTGCTTACATACAATTCTCTTTTTCTTAGAGACGGAGATAGAGAGAGTCAAACAAACCTGGTGTCTGTAACAAGGCAGAATTTGTTTCCACATTTATCAGCCTGATCATGGTTTGAGGAAAAGGCAAATTAACGTTCAAGAGACCTGTAGCTGGCCAACTTGTAGATCTGCGTCGTTTGGAGGAGGACGAGAAGAGGTGTCCTCCGCACGCACAAATACCCTCCTCACTGCGTCTTTCGCCTGCCCCTCCATGCCCTCTTGCCGAATTGCCCTATAATTGCGCTAGCTATTTATCTTTTAGAGTTTTTAAATCCTAGTATTAATTACGTTGTTTAATAGATTAATTTCTTTCTTTGTAGACTAAAAGATTAGTTAGTGTCGAACAAATAATCTATGGGGAAAAACTCTTCAGAACGAAAATATGGTTAAAAACTGGAGCAAAATCGCAACCAGCGAACAATCTCACAAAATTTTTCTTCGCGACAAAATTTTCGTGGCTACTTTTACCAAAAAAAAGTCACGCAGCGATTTCGGGAGCGAGGTAGACCCTGTTGCCTTCAATCGTGAACCTCGAGCTCTTTGATAACTACAAAAATTTCACGAGCTGAGCATCTGGATGCAAAAGAGGAAGAACGAAAACTACAAACCTTTCTCCGGAGTCTATCGATATCACTGAAAGAATCGGCGCCAACTGTAGACGAGACATGCTTGTGGAGTTTCTTCAAGCTGGCCTTTTGTTGCGGAGCCTGATCAAGGAGTAAAAGAGTAAAGCATGAAACTGGGAATCTGGAGTAGCATACCTCCATCAAAAAATCCTGGCATATCTTTTTCCAGCTTGATCTCGTCTCACTATCACTCCCGTTGCCACTTTCACGCTTTCTTTTCGTGTCTTTGGAAGCCTCTTGGAGCTCTTCTTCTTCTTCGGCATCTCCAAATGAAACTTTCTGGCCCTTCCAGTGAGCACCGCCTATTTTCTTTGCCCGATCCGCAATTCCTAAACCCCCTCTGCCCTTCGTAGCTTTGTCCTGCAAAATCCACGATGCCATCAGATACAAAAACTCCCACTATCTTATATACTTACATGAACGGACTTATACAACATCTCTTGGTCGTTTTCACTAAATGTCGTGTTTTTACTTGTACAATTGGAGCTTGCTCCAAGCGTTCCTGCTTTTACAAAACCGAGCTTGCTTCCCCACCACTCGGCTGGTGGATCGATCACTGTTATAAACACAATCAAAACCGGAACAAATAAAAGCCAAGAATAGAACAAACCAGTGAGCTTCACTTCCTGTTTTGTGTGAACCTGCTTGACTGGAACGAACATAATTACATGTTCCTTCTTTTCGGTTACTTGTTCGCGTCCCTGGAAGATTTAACATACCATCAGCACTCACTTGTAGCAACCTGTAACATACCAAAATGGATTCAAGGTCTTGCTTTGAATAGTTGCGCACCATTTTCCCACGTTCGATCCTCTTGTACCTTTCACAAAAAGCAAGTTAGATTTCGTATCTTTTTAGATGATCTCGTCTTACCGCCCTTGAGGCCGGCAGACTTTCTTGACTTCCACCTCTTCCTCTTTTTCTCTATCAGATCCATTGTTCTCGATTTCAGACTCGTCACTTTCTTCGCCATCGGGTTGATCGCTTTGCCCTGCAGGAAACGAGCTGTAAACACAAGAAACATTTTTCCAGCTCTAGAAACTTACGATGCTGGGGCTTGTCAGTGACTTGCTGCATCACACAAAAACATCTGTTAGACGAATCAGCAAAACCAGCGGCACATACCACTTTCAATTTCTTTAGAAGATTGTCGAAGTCAGTCGTGTTGAAAGTCCAATTGTGAGTTTCATTCGCACCAACACCTACAGACGAGATCTTCCACCACACCGTCTAGGAAAAAAAATGCCATACCTGCGGTATCATCCTTCTTCTTCACCACAAGGTGCTTCTTGATGCCCTGACTGTCCTTCCCCAGGCCGGATCCTTCCTCCCATCCCTGCGATCACAAATCTGAGCTACAAATCGGCAATTACAACCCTGGCAGCTCACCATTTGCTTCATGAGACGGAATGCCGCCGATTCCTTGCGCATACCCTGGAAGACGGCGCCTGGCGCCATGGGGAAGGACAGGCCTAGAACCCTAAAACCGCTACAATGAATCCAACGGCCAGCATCGCTTTGAAACTTTTTTTATTTTAGGGCGGGAGAGTCGATACTCCTGGCAATGGCGAGCGAGGAATGCTGCTTGGCAGCGGCCGATCAAGACGCAAAGGTAGAGTATTTCCATTGAATCTCAAGAATTCAATCGCTTCTTGGAGAACAGGTCTCAGAGCTAGCCAATCGGCTCACAGGTTTGTCCGATCGAGAATCGAAGTACTGCACAGACTCGTGCCTGCGGAAATTCTTGAGAGCTCGCAACTGGAGCGTCAGGAAAGCCGAGAAGATGCTCAAGGAGGCCCTAAGTTGGAGAGCATCCTACAAGCCGGAAGAAATTCGCTGGGTAAGAAGAGTTCCTTCTTCTTTCTTTTGTTCTTCTCAGTGCAAAGAAATCTTCCAGGGAGATGTTGCTAGAGAGTCCGAGACTGGGAAACTTTACAAAGCAAATTATCTGGACAAGCTCGGCAGGCCAGTTCTTGTGATGCGTCCCGGTGCTCAAGTAAGCAGCATCTTCTTTCTTTTCTTTTCTTTTTTATAATTGCTTGATTTACTCCTGTTTTTCTTCTCTTTTTCTTGTAATTCAGAATACTTCAGCTCCAGCAGGCCAGATTAAGCAACTAGTCTATTTCATGGAGAATGTTATTGTTAATCTCCCTCCAAATGGACAGGACCAAATGGTTTGGCTTATTGATTTCAATGGCTGGTCTATTTTCAAGTCCCCATCTGTCAAGACAGCCAAAGATATAGCATACATCTTGCAAAATTTTTATCCAGAGTGGCTTGGCCTGGCCGTCCTTTATAATCCTCCTTACATTTTTGAGACATTTTGGGTGGTATGTTTTGTTTTGTTTTGCCTCTTGATCTTATATTCTGTGTTCTATATAGGTAATAAAACCATTTTTGCATCCAAGCACTTGCAAGAAGGTTAAGTTCGTCTACAGCAGTAATTTGAAGCTGCTCCATGATATATTTGATATGTCTAAAGTCGAAACAGCATTTGGAGGTGGAAGCTCATCAAATTTCAACTGTCATGACTATGGCAAGGTTATGCAGCAGGATGATCTTCGTATAGACTCATATTGGGGTATTCAAAGGCCAGAAATTGAATCACCAGACAATAGTTCATTGTCAACAGAGGATTAGTTTGGGATGTCAAGATTAGGAAGTTAAATGAGCTGAAAACTTCTCAGCAGTTTCTTGAGAAATTTTATTTTCTCGAAAAAAAGAACTTTTCCCCAGATTACCAGCATAGAACTAAAAATTCGACTCACTGAGGATGGAACCCAGAATCTATTGTTCCGTAGATACTAATCAATTCTTAAAAGGGTGAGAGATTATCTCTCACCAGTATCCTCGCAAACCTTAGCCACTACCTTTTTATGATTAAGAAAAAGGTAAAGAAATAAGGATTAGATAAAATCGCTTACGTCCTAGAAGCACTAAAGAAACAGATAGCTGATTGCAAACGATAATCACAAAATCACCAAAGGTTACTACTGTCGTGGCTTTCTAATTATGGGGACGCGGCACCTTTGGATTTGATGATTTTCGTCTTACTCTGGTGTTGGCAAAACCCTGCTCCAATCCTCCTTATGCTATTTTTCAGTAAATATCATATAATGCCTAGACATGTCAACTAGTGTGCGGCCAGTTTTAGCAGGTAGGCGGGCGAACATCACCCGCGTCTCCTCATCCATATCCCACTTGAACCCCGGACAAGCACGAGTGAAGACGCTAGGCAGGGTGGAGAGAAAGCCCTAACGAGGTTACCAGGTTGTAGTCGTGGCACAGGTCACAGAGAATCCCCAGTCCCTGGCTCCTGCTCCACGCCTTGCACACGTACATGCGCGGCCGGTCCATCCACGCGAAGTGCCACTCGTCTTTGAGGTCCGTGATCACCACGGCTTGAGGGTGTGGCATCTGATGTTCACTCCCACCAACATCACGAGAGCCCTCCAGATGTCCACCTCGCTAATCTCTTCCTTGATATAGTAGCCCGTGATGATGTCCTTCGGCCACACTCATGTACAAGAGCATGGCGTCCAGTTTGAAGCGGAGTCCGGGGTTGTGGTCGATATCTCCTCCATGATTGTGCCCTCATCGTTAGCTACATGCTCCAGTATGACAAGATCGCCAACTTTGGCACCCTCCACCAGGTACTCCATCGTGTCCCCTTGCCTCCTGCTATTCCACCCTGCGAAGGCTTGGCTCTCGATTTCCGCCCGCGGTTCTAGCCACCCTTCCCCTCTAATGACCTCGATCTTCGCCGCGGCAAGGACCAGCTGACAGCTTCCAAGTGCCATGAGACGGACCTCACACACCTGGCGATGAATGCTACCACGTATTCCAACAAAATCATTTGGGTGGAATGTTAGCTCGTCTCCTGGAAAGATGCATCGTCACGTTCCAGAGGACAGCCGTCCCTCACCAAGACGCCTCCGTTCCCCACCTTCGTCCAAAGCCTGTCTATAATCTTAAGAGCCTGCTCCCCCGCGTCTGGAATGTCAAAGAGCTCCAGAAATGACCCGTCTACGCTCCTCACCTGGCGCTTGCCCATCGGATGCGGCAGCACCAGATATGACTTCATAAGTCTTGAGTAGAATAAACTGCAGGTAAGAGGATCAGTCGGGTGAGCGGCCAACATGTAAACCACGTACCGGATTCCCCCCTGAAGCAATCAGAGCGCCTCGACCTTTGATTCTCGTGTGCACCAAGCTCATGCTCTACACGTTATGTAGACTAGTAGTGCTTTCCGTTGGGAGAAACAAATGCACTTACCTCAGTAGCCAAACGAGGTTCGGCACGCACTACGGTCCACTTCAAAGACTCCATGTTCAATGGTTTCTTTCGCAGCACCTGTTATAGATATATGAGGTATAAACGGAGCAGCAAGAAGCAAAACTTACCACCAACAACATAGCACTGGTTTTCAGTGACTGCAGTTGCAAAACGTGCGGCAGGCACGAGGGCAGGACCTTGATCTGGATACCTGGACCATTCTCTCTGCAAACAATTTGGCCACACCATCTTACTCCGTGCATACCTTTACGAGATCCAGTGCGTATAGAGCCAGCTCCGAAAACGTATAGATGGTTGCCCTCATGCACCGCAGCATGGAAAGAAAGCGCTGGTGGGATGACGCCACTGCCATGAGGCCGCGAGTAAAACAGGAATTACGGATTGATATATTACCTTGATTTAATCAGCTCCCACTGATTGCTTCTCAGATCGAGTGCATGTAGCGAACGGCGCAGCTGACCACGAAAATCCACACCGCCATACACCCATATTTTGATCAAGGGGGGAGTGTTACTAAGAACTTGAGACACTACTTAACTACCAGCACATCGTTCAAGTATCGGTCCCTGCAGCATCCTCCCACCACATACATCTTCTCCTCGATGGCAGCTGCGCCATGCTGCAAGGGATTCAAGGTTAAGAAAACCTCGAAAACTAGAATACCTGGGATCGAACATGTCGGCTAACATCTATCAACTGCCATTGAGGAGTACCCCATCGCACCCACAGCCGCCACGATCACAATAAAAACTGCAGCCATAAAATTATGAGCTAACACCGCGCACTATGTTAGAATGTCGAAAATCAAAGGTGCTACAAGCAAGAATCTGGCTAAACGATCTCACTGGGGATCGAACCCAGAATCTCTGGTTTCGTAGACCAGCGCCTTGTCCGTTGGGCCATGAGATCATTACGTATGAAACAAGAGGTATTAAGAAAACAGATAGAGGATAAAACAAAGAGTCACAAAACCACTCGGCTTTCAAACATCTTTGTTGGAGTTTGAAGCCTCGCCATCTCATGGGGGAAAGAGTCTTTCACCGCCAATCTTTTCCAAATCGTCCTACCTTCCAACGCAAAACCTAAAGCTGCGCCAAGAAAATTCTCAAATTTTTGTTATCTCGTCACAAAAGACTCTTTGATCCAACACAAGTTTCCAACACCGTGGGTAGCGAGAGATTTGTAGCAGTAATTCCTGTGTCCAGATCCAGATATCTTCCCTTGGAAAAATCCAGGGCGCGTCCAGCAAAACCACCAAAAGATTTGCAAGTCTTTGCTGTTGCTACCTCCTACGACAATTGAACCAGCTGTGTGATCCCCGGTATCCCTTGGAGGAAAACGAAGGTAAATCGCAGCGTCTCCTCTCGCTATGGCCCCGTACTGTCCATTCAAATCAGTGACGCAGTCACTCCTAACATCTGCAAAGACGTTATCTAATTAAGAAAGCCATCAAGGAAAATGATCAGCTTAGCAACAGGGTTCGAAAAAGTTTTTCTCTTCAACCAACATGAAGATATGAGAGATGTGCAATTGTCCTCACGCTTTGTAGCTGAGAAATGCTTGCATAAGGCATTCATCCAAAATGTAGAATTATATTCTAAAACATTCTTAGAATATTCTATGAATATTTTTATGCTTTAACTAGAAAGAATATTCTAGAATTGGAAAAAGAAAGCTTTCTAACCAAGACATTAAGTTGCTTTGAAAATAATTCAAGCTCTCAAAGAAATTGCTCTTGTGTTATGCATATGTTTGTTTAATGCATAGTTACGAACACGAACACGGAACACGAACACGAGCCTCAGATTTCAGGAACCCGAACACGGAACACGATCACGGCCCACGATGGCTCACGAATATTCTACTGAATATTCTAAGAATATGTTATTTAAAAATTATATTCTATTTCTTATTATATTATTATAGGAATGATTTCGCGAAGAAGGATGCTTTCGCAGTATGCTGGATTGCTGCGCCATGCTTGTTTGCCTTGGATTGCTGCTGCTGTGCCCTGAAATGGTGCGCCCTGGCTGGATTGTCGTGTGATGCCATGCGCCCTAAAACCAGAATATTCCGCGCGAGAATATTCTGAACAGTGGTCCGTGTTACTAACACGGACCGTGATCCCGGCCGTGGATCACAGTCCGTGTTAGTAACACGGACCACTGTTCACGAACACGGCCGTGGGAACACGACCCATGGCCGTGTTCGTGAAACACGGTGAACACGGCCGGGATCCCGGCCGTGTTCGTAACACTGGTTTAATGAACCATAAATCATGTGAATTGTAGTTTTAACTCCTCTCACAGAGTTGACTGGTGAGCTTCCATAGTCTGAAAGTTCAGACAGTTGTAGATTAAAAAAAATTGCATTGTGTATGTATAGTATATATGTATAAGTAATATGCTAATTATACTAGTATAGACCATCTATTTTGGACTGAATTTAGTTCATTTAGCTACATTGGTGGTTTTATGGGAACCATTTATATGTAGGGTTTATAAATATAGATAATATATTAATTATAGTAATATATAATATTTATTTGAGATTAAATCTAGTCCATCCGTTTCTATATATAACTAAAGTCTAAACATTAATTAAATTCCCAGAGAGAACGTTTTTCACAATTCCTCATCCATCTCTTAAGCATAATTATTATTATTATTTTTCTCTTGTAAATTTTCTAGCATATAAAGTAATACAACTTATTCCCTATGTTCAAGATTTTTTTAGATTTAGCTTTTTCGTTATTCTTGTCTCAATCGATCACACAAACAAGTTCAGTGATTCTTTGCAAATGGCCCAAGGACAGTAAAACGAGTTCCATCATCGAGGAGAAAAGAAATATGGCGAGCTTTTTTATTTGCCTGCAAATAAAAAATTCCATGAGAAGTTGTACATGATGATATGTTTTGTTAGTCTTATCAGACTTCGTTTTCCAATAGTTTTCTCTGCATGGACTGAGTTCGTTTGATCCAGTAAGCATTAGGTCAGACAAGAATTTCCAAGAAAACGAAATTCTCTCCTTGCCGTAAGTTAGGTCATAGAGGACTTTATCCCGCATGTAGCGCAGCAAACAAGAGTTGCAGCCTGCAGGACGAAATAAGAGCCCGTGAGCAGCAGAGCCGGATGTCCAAGTTTTGCTCATAAAAATCTTAACGATCATAGTTATTTACTCTGATCGTTGCAACTAATAAGCTAGTGTTGCTCCGGTCTATATCGCTTGAGTGCCCTGCCAGTTTTCGCACACCTATGAAAGGCAGGCGGGCGAGGGGCGAACATCACCCGCGTTTCCTCATCCATATCCCACTTGAACGCCGGACAAGCGCGAGTGAAGACGC